CTCGACAAATGGTTTAAAGTTCGGCTTATATGCTCATGCTTTGTCCTTTTTGTGGAAGCAGAAAATTATTCATGCTCCTAATAATGTTTGTCACAGGGCTTTTCCTTCCTGTCAATTTAAATAAGCTGGTTCTGTCCTGAAAATTCTTATCATCACGTTCTCCATGTCGTTTTCTATTGCTGATCGGGTTTTTTGTTTGTCTAATGTGTTATATCCCACTAGGAAGAGAAAGCAGGAATGCTATGTAGTTAAGAGCATGTAACTCACTTTCACCTTTCAGCATATATTTGTGAAGGAAGGAAGGAGGGGTTAGGGAAGAGGGAAGAGAAAGAATGTACCTGCACTGACCTTCAATGCAAGGCACAGAAGTTTCCATGTGTTTTTGTGGAGTGTTGAATGTCAGTGACTTTAAAACAGATATGAAATTGTATCTAAAAGGGGGATAAACAGTCTAAGTATTTTCTATTCCCCTTGATCCTGGCCAAATGCTTTGTCCAGACACATCTCCCGCATTTCTATCCTACTTTACATTTTATGGGATGCTTCATGTGCATGATCTAGTTTGATCCTTAACAACCCTGTGAGGCGGCAAAGCAAATGTGGGGCACCTCATTTTGCAGGTAAGGGAACCGAAGCTCAGAGAGGGAACTGGCTTGTCTAAGTAGCCCGCAGAGGTTTCCAGCCTGTGTTTTCATTCCCTGTCCTGTGTTCGTTCTACCACAAAACACCCATTAATACCATTATATCCCTTCAGAGGATACGACATGAACAAGTTGTTATAATTGAGGCAAGTCTCCAACTGCCTTACTTCCTCTCACAAACAGATATCAATGCAACCAATTTTTGGTACCTATTAATGCAAGTGAGAGGAGTCCCAATCTTAACTCCATGTGATCCTGTGAATTTCTGTGTTTATGTGAAGAATTAAAATCGTTATCCAGGTGATTTAAAAGGAAAGTTTTATCCAGAAAGAATGTCTATTCTCAGTAACTAAATGCTTGGAATATAACAGTGCAATAGCTTTCAAAGTCTTCTCATTTGACTTTTCATTTCTTCAGCAACAAAAGTTTATCTTGGCCATTCAGCCAAATGATAAGATCAGTTGTGACTTGTCCTTGGTTTGGTTTGCAGACATGATGGGAATTAGCAAAATAGTGGTGGTTTAGAAAGAGAATGATCACATGGGAGAGGTGGGAGGGGCTATGGAGATGATCTCATCCAAATCTCCAAGGGACTTGGCCAATCTCACACAGATAATTTGTTTGCAAGTTCTGCATGTCCACTTCATTTGCCATGTGCAGACCTAAGTCTCCTTGCTAGAGCTGAGGGATGTAGCCAGCTCTGGAGGCCAGTTGGTAGAGGTAATGGGCATTAAAAATCTAACTCGTGTGTAGTTAGGATAAAAGAGGCAAAGCCTAAATGCCGTACTAAGTACAAGGTTTGCTTACTAAAAAATATCCAGGTTTAGAAGTATATCCTGCAGTTTAAAGCAAAATGTCACATTTCTTATATTTATTTTGTTTTATTTTTTTTTAAGATTTTATTTATTTATTTGACAGAGAGAGAGTTAGCGAGAGCAGAAACAAGCAGGGGGAGTGGGAGAAGGAGAAGCAGGCCTCCCACTGAGCAGAGAGCCCGATGCGGGGCTCGATCCCAGGACCCTGGGATCATGACCTGAGCCGAAGGCAGACGCTTAACCGACTGAGCCACCCAGGTGCCCCGATATATTTATTTTGTTTTAAAACTCTACAATAAAACAATAAACTCCCATTTGGCTTATTGTCTTACACATCATCTTTGGTATATATTGAATAATTTATCTACAGCGCTGTCTTTCTGGGAGAACTCCAAGCTTCACAAGATATTTAAAATAAGCCTTATTTATAAACTGAGAGCAAATGGCTTTTGACAGATTAAATTTGAACATGAGACAGAAAATAATGCACTTCAGTACCTATGGCTTCTTTAACACGAATAGGGGGCTGCTAAGAGCTTGGGTGTTCGGTTTTTTCCTGTAATCATTGTTTTCCTTCAAGAATGTACTCCAGGGGCATCTGGGTGGCACAGTCGTTAAGCATCCGACTTTTAGTCTTGGCTCGGGTCATGATCTCAGGGTCATCACATTGAGCCCCGCATCAGGCTCTGTGCTTTGCTTGGCATTTGCCCGGGTCTCTTTCTCCTCTCCCTTTGCCCCGCTCCCTCTCTCTCCAATTCAGTAAATGAATCTTTGGGGGGGATGGGGAAAAAATGTACTCCAAATCATGTTGTGCCTGTGCTGAATTTCCAGGTATAAAAGGTAACCATATGTGTTAAGTTGGGGTCAACTAGACTATGGACCGCATTAGTACTGTTCAGTGTTTCATTATTTCCCAAAATTAGCTACTGAAGTCAAATGACTTACAGTCTAGCTGTGATTAGGGAGTCAAGGAAACTGAGGGTCTACCCTGGACCATCCACTTTTGTTCTTTGTCCAAGAGGGTTGGAAGCTAATAGAATGATTTCATTTGTATTTCTACTTCTCTCCTTGCTCTTTGAAGTGATAAGCATCAGGAAGATGCATCCAAAATGGGCAGGTGAACAGATAAGATATGGAAAATCTAGAGTATGGATTGTCAGAACAAGAATGATGGCAGAAATCCCAGCACTTAAAATGCCCACTTAATATTATCCACCTGTTATACGACAGTACGACCTTCTAGAAAGTACAGAGGGACCTGGTTACTCATCGTAAGAGCATAAGAACGGATGGGACCTGACCAGTGCTTCCTAAGAAATGTTGTAGTGGCAGAATTTTGTCAGCGTCACCCTGCCATTGGCCTCTGTGGGTGGAGATTCGAGGTGAACATTCCCAACTTGCCCTTAGTAAGCCCTCTGAATCCATTATCCATGGATTTATCTAAACCTTCTGAGAGGACTTCTAACTTCAGCCTCCACAATCTTTTAGAATAGGATGAAGAGAACCTTTTTTCTACTGTGATTCATTGATCCACATTTTTCAAGGAAATCCTGAAGTATACTCAAGTAAAAAGTACTTACCTTAGTTTTGTTCAAGAAAAATATGTAAAATACTAATCGTAAAATACTGTTCAGTAAGTCAAGGAACCATAAATCTTTATTCAATATCTGTAACACACTCTGAAATACGTTATACTGTGATTTTACTTAATAGAGATTTGAGGGAAGAGATGGAAGCTGGAAGAACAAGAACGAAAAACAATGAAAGGTATAAAAGAGGAATATGAGGAGAAAGGGTCAGGAGAGTAACCCAGAAGAAGAGAAATTTACAAGAGTAAAGAGAGGAAAACAGAGGGAGAAAGAACAGAAGACTGTCGTTTACAACTCCTGATGTCAGTTAGAGGCAAACTAATTTTTTCATGATCTCAGGTTTACTGAGCTGTGGGGTCTCAAGCTGCTTAATCATTGTCCTTTGAAACGTTTCCTGGATGCTTAATCTTTAAATTAAATAGTCACTGTCAGGGGGCGCCTGGGTGGCTCAGATGGTTGAGCGTCTGCCTTCGGCTCGGGTCATGATCCCGGATCCTGGGATCGAGTCCCGCATCGGGCTCCCTGCTCAGCGGAGAGCCTGCTTCTCCCTCTCCCTCTGCCTCTGCCTCTCTCTCTCTTTCTCTGTCTCTCATGAATAAAGAAATAAAATCTTAAAAAAAAAAATAGTCACTGTCAGGATATTTTTCTCAGAGCTACATATAATAACTGAGACCAATGACAGCTCCCAAGATCATGGACAAAGGTCATTTGAAACCAAGCCGGACCTAATCTAGGTAAGAGAGGCTTCCTACTTCACCAAGAAGTGTGTGTCCCACATGCACAGTCTTTACTAAGCAAAAAAGTGCTTCCTCCCATTGCTCTCAAACCTTCATCTTCATGCTCGGCCTTAAAAATCTCAGCCTTATAAAGAAATTCCTACTTGGGATGTCTGTATGGTGGTGCCTGGCTTCACAGATGTCCCACATACCTGTTCTCGGCCTTTGTCTTTCCAGACTGAAGTCCTGTTCATTTCAGCCTCTAATAATACGAGTGCCTTTCATTTATTTAGCAATATTTGTGTGTCATCTAATCTTGACAACAACCATGAAACAGCTATGACCATTGTCTTTGTTCTAACAGATTTGTAAACTGAGACAACGAGAGGTTGAAAACCTGCCCAAGGTCACATAGGAAGCAATAAAGCCAGGCTGAGCTCAGACTGACTAAAATCCTGTCATCCCATCTTCTCACTTCTCACTGAGCTCTTCCTCTCTCCTGCCACTTCTGACATCGTGCTTTTTCCTCCACCTAAAATGTCTACTCTTCACCAAAATCATCGTGGATGGTCAGCAAGCTCTTTCTGAAACCTTCCTTGACTGAATGCAGCTAGCTCTAATCTTCCTTTCCCACATGGTGCTGACCAGAGGTCCCCACATCCCAGGCTGGAGGCTATCCTGATTTTGTTCTGCCGTCAGTGCTTACCGTATAAATGGTATTTGTTGTACGAGAAGCACGGTTGTACCGAGTGCTGTATTATCTCTCGTGTGTAGGTCTGCATATGTGGTTTTAGTTGTAGAATAAAACTCCTAGAAACCATGAATTCTGTCTAGCATATGTGGCATGTCAGGCGATTCACTTCAAGAAACACAAACCAGGTGGTTAAGAGAAAAAAATAACAAAACTAAGAGAAGGGAGATTGCTCCCCAAGGCGATTCCAAAGGGTGGTTACTCGCACAAGAACAAAGGCAGGGGTGAGGGATGGATTTTTTTTTTTTTCAAATTGTTCAGGCCCCGGAATTTAAACGGGTACTACACTGGGCTTCTAAATGAGATGAACTCATAAAAAGTGAATGTGTTTGCATTAGTTAGGGAATTTTAGGCTGTAAAGTTCCCTGAAACTTCCTGGAATATCTTTGAGCAATTCACATCATTGAGAGAACAGGGAATCCACATGTCTCCCAGCTGCCTAAGCCACGGAGAGGATTTGCTAACTTGGACTTCCTTCTCTTTTCCAGATCTTGGCCATCGTGTCTATCCTGTTCATCGTGCTCTCCACCATCGCTCTGTCTCTCAACACTCTACCGGAGCTGCAGGCAGTGGATGAATTTGGACAACCCAACGACAACCCCCAGTTAGCACATGTGGAGGCTGTGTGTATTGCTTGGTTTACCATGGAGTACCTTTTACGCTTCCTGTCCTCACCAAATAAGTGGAAGTTCTTTAAAGGCCCACTAAATGTCATCGATTTGCTGGCCATCTTGCCATATTATGTCACCATCTTCCTCACGGAGTCCAACAAGAGCGTGCTGCAGTTCCAGAACGTGAGGCGCGTGGTTCAGATCTTCCGCATCATGCGCATCCTCAGGATCCTGAAGCTCGCCAGACATTCCACAGGCCTGCAGTCCCTGGGGTTCACCCTCAGACGGAGTTACAACGAATTGGGCTTACTGATCTTATTTCTGGCCATGGGGATAATGATATTTTCCAGCCTGGTATTTTTTGCTGAGAAGGATGAAGATGCCACCAAGTTCACCAGTATCCCAGCGTCGTTCTGGTGGGCCACCATCACCATGACCACTGTGGGCTATGGTGACATTTACCCGAAAACATTATTAGGGAAAATCGTGGGAGGCCTCTGCTGCATTGCCGGGGTCCTGGTTATCGCCCTTCCCATCCCAATCATCGTGAATAATTTCTCTGAGTTTTACAAGGAGCAGAAACGCCAGGAGAAGGCAATCAAAAGGAGAGAGGCCCTTGAGCGGGCCAAGAGGAACGGAAGCATTGTTTCTATGAACTTAAAAGATGCCTTTGCCCGAAGCATGGAACTGATAGACGTGGCCGTGGAGAAGGCAGGAGAGTCAGCCAGTACCAAGGACTCGGCTGACGATAATCACCTGTCCCCGAGCCGGTGGAAGTGGGCCAGGAAAGCTCTGTCGGAAACAAGCTCCAACAAATCTTTCGAGAATAAGTACCAGGAGGTTAGCCAAAAAGACTCCCACGAGCAGCTGAACAACACTTCTTCTTCCAGCCCGCAGCACCTGAGCGCGCAGAAACTGGAGATGCTGTACAACGAGATCACCAAGACACAGCCTCACGCTCAGCCGAACCCGGCCTGCCAGGAGCAGCCCGAGAGGCCGTCAGTGTACGAGGAGGAGATAGAAATGGAAGAAGTGGTCTGCCCGCAGGAGCAGTTGGCTGTGGCGCAGACCGAGGGCGTCGTGGACATGAAGAGCACGTCCAGCATAGACAGCTTCACCAGCTGCGCCACCGACTTCACCGAGACCGAGCGGTCGCCCCTGCCGCCGCTGTCCGCCTCCCACTTGCAGATGAAGTTCCCACCTGACCTCACGGCGACCGAAGAGCGCCAAAGAGCCAGGGGGCCCCCGTTTCTAACACTAAGCAGAGAGAAGGGGCCGGGGGCCGGGGATGCCATCCTGGAATATGCTCCGGTCGACGTAACTGTGAGCCTCGATAACAGCGCTTGCCAAAGTGGGCTCCACGGCCCTTTGCCGTCGGACGGTACCTCCGAGAGCCCTAAGAGTTCGCTGAAAGGCAGCAACCCCCTAAAATCCAGATCGCTCAAAGTGAACTTTAAGGAAAACAGAGGCAGTGCCCCACAGACCCCGCCCAGCACAGCCAGGCCACTGCCGGTCACGACAGCGGACTTTTCACTCACCGCCCCGCAGCTCATCAGCACCATCCTCCTCGAGGAAACCCCCTCCCAGGGAGACAGAGCCTTGCTGGGCACCGAGGTTTCCGCACACTGTCAGGGACCTTCCAAAGGGCTGACCCCTCGGTTTCCCAAGCAGAAACTCTTTCCTTTCTCGACAAGAGAGAGGAGGAGCTTCACGGAAATAGACACTGGCGACGACGATGACTTCTTAGAGCTGCAGGGGCCCAGGCAGGACAAGCAGGCCGACTCCAGCCCAAACTGCTTTGCAGATAAGCCTAGTGATGGAAGAGACCCTTTGAGAGAGGAGGCCTGTGTGGGCTCTTCCTCCCCCCAGGACCCAAGTCACAACTGTAGGCAAGACATTTACCATGCTGTGGCGGAAGTAAAAAAGGACAATAGTCAAGAAGGGTGCAAGATGGAAAACCACTTGTTTGCCCCAGAAATTCATTCCAACCCAGGAGACACAGGTTATTGTCCCACACGTGAAACCAGCATGTGACTAGTTACAAAAGCAATAATAAATAATAATAATAAAAACTTGTTTCTTAAAAATGCGGTAATAATGCCTGTGAACTAAAAACATGGGAAGCCCCCCCCCCACAAAAAAAGTGCATAAAATGTTATTTTTGCATGGCATGAACAGTTTAGTTTAAGTACTGTTTAAATAAAGAGTCAAGACTGCATTTTGTAACAAACAAAAATGACTAAGGAACAGTGAACAAATAAAGAGAGCTCTATTAGGAACCAGTATTCGGCAATGTCTGACATTTTTGATCCTTTCATTTCGAATTGTAGACAGATTTCCAACTTTTAATTTTTTTCTGTTACAATGAATTTTAGAATTTGCACATGAAAGGATGAAATGTCATTGCATGCATTCGGTAATTACCAGGACCAAGGTGCTTTGAGCTTGCGAAATGCGTAACTTTGTAAATAATGGGACCCGGGATGCAAAATTGTCAAGAACATATGGAAACAAGTTTCTGAGACACAGATACTTCCTTCGCAGCTACTGCCTGGAGTTGCTGTACAGACTTCTTGTTGCAAAATTGCAACCTCTTCTTAAACCATCTCACATATCTTGCTTTGGGTTATAAAGCTCTTAAAAGTACATTTGTTTAAACGAATATAGTATTTTTATTGTGATATAGTTCATAGGGTGCATTTTTCTTTTGTGCTTCTGCTTAGTTGTGGCACTTGTGGTTTTCTTTATAAATCATGAAAATAGGCAAGATTTAATGACCAGATACCGACAAATTTGGAATTGAAGCTTGCAATTTTGCCAATTATATATCCAATTTTGCCACAGCCTAAAAGCCTGAAAATATGTCAAAGGTTGTATCATACAACTAAACTTTTTTTTTTAAGTGTCACTCCACATTTGGAAATTAGGTTTTTTGTTTTTTGGGTTTTATTCCAGTTGTATGTTGACCATCAGAAGATGATAGTATTTTCCACTTGAGGCCAACATAAACTTTTCTATCTAAAGAACTAAAGATAGAATGCAGATATGCCAAAACAGGAATTCCAAAAAGTGACTTTTGACAAACTAAAAGCAAAGCTATTTAAGTGAGACTGCCACCCCTTGCATAGTTAGTTGGGTTCAGAAATGAGTTACCAAAAAAAGAGCCCTAGGCTGGTAACGGGTCGCCCAGTATTTCCCAGTGTGGGGAGGGGACAGCTCCACTCTAGGAGCCCCACAGAGGCCAGTAGGCACCTGCCCCTAACTGCAGCATCTAGAAACACCCCCTCACGTTTCCAACGTCCCCAAGCATCGTCAGGACTACCTTTGTTGAAAGCCACTTACAGCTTTTTCAACTGAAAACACTGAAATCCAAAGGAGTTAAGACACGTCGGTGAAGTCTGTGCTAAGAGCCCAGGTCGGTTGAATCCATTTTGCTTCACAGGAAATGAAGGCTCTGGTTCCAGATCTGCAACTACCAGATGTGTCATTCTGGATTAGCCTTAAAAACCTCTTAGTCTCAGTTTTACCCCAATGAACCCAAGACAAAATTCTTTCTCAGCTCCCTTAAGACTTCAAATTAATACGATTCCTTGGTCTCTCAGGAAGGTCCCAAGTTTTGCCTCAGCATAATGCATTTTGTACGTGTGTGTGTGTGTGTGTGTGTGTGTGTGTGTGTGTGTAGTTCATGGAAAGAGTTGGGAAAATTCCAGACCAAATTTAAAGCACAACTTTTGTTTAAAGAAAAAACAAATTCTAAATTGTATTCTGTTTTTAAAATTACGATAAAAACACTGACAAAAGACAATCCAAATGTTTAGAATTTAAGGCTTTAGGAATGACATTTATTAACAGAATCTGGTCATTATATCTCAGATAAGAAAACAAGTTTTGATCTTAGTTGAAATCCAAGCATCCCTACTGCTAAAAATAATTTTAAATGTTTCTTTTTCACTGTGCTTAGAATTTCTTAAAGGTTTTCATGTTTGTCTCAAGACATAACCTTTAAGGGTTTATGGTCATTAACCATTGATATTTACAGTACTCATACTTACTTCAGTGTCTAAAATGAAATGTTGATCTGTTTTTGTAAATCTAGAGTGTTCAAATTTTCTACACGTAGTTTTTCAAGTCAAACAGGTATGTCTGCTGTTAGATGAATAGCAAATAAGTCATGAAAATCATTTTCTTGACATAGTCTAACAAAACAATTATTTTCTAATGTCTCTGTATTGTTGAATCTCAATTTTTTTTTTCATTTATCTGTCTGCACAGGTGGATTTGTCTTTTTGCCCTGATAGTTCACTAATGCCCACTTTCATGTGTCCATTAGGCTTTCTATCAAGAACCCTGCTCCAGAATGCTTAATGTTAGAAATCTTACCTAGATAAGGAATCCTAGACATTCCACCCTGGAAGCATTTTCCCTAAAAACTTCTTTCCCTTTAATATTTTTTAAGTTTCAGAGAATTTTCAAGAACATCTTATGGGAAGCCTAACCTTCCATTCTTCTTAGCCCCTCTGAGCCAAAAGTCTTCAGCTAGGAGAAAAATAAAATGCTCCTCTAAAAAACAACAACAACAACAACAAAAACTGACTTTGTTGTTTCACAGTGAGGCAGTTTGGGAACCGAGGGCTCCCAGAATGCACTTCTGCAGCACTTCCTAAACGTTTTTTGTTTTTTTTTGTTTTTTTTTTAATTTTTTTTAAGATTTTATTTATTTGCAAGAGAGAATGAGAGACAGAGAGCATGAGAGGGAGGAGGGTCAGAGGGAGAAGCAGACTCCCTGCTGAGCAGGGAGCCGGATGTGGGACTCGATCCCAGGACTCCAGGATCATGACCTGAGCCGAAGGCAGTCGCCCAACCAACTGAGCCACCCAGGCGCCCCCCTAAACGTTTTCAATGAACTGCAGCTGATGCAGAGAATGAACGTGTGTATGCCTAAAATGGTCTGCAAATATACCAAGCACAGAATTCTTTTGAAGTCTTATTTTTACATTAAAAATTCATGTAAATCCTGCATTTTGCTCCATATGTTTCAATATAAAAGAAATGATGTTTTATAGTGCTTACCAACTAGTAAAATTGATACTCTTATGACTTCATATACCTCTTTTGTACCCCTTGGAAAATATATCCCTAGTTTAAGAAGCACTGCATGAATGACGGGGACATAGACTGGTTCCTTTGGGCGCGCTGGAGGTTTCTGCCACTGGGAAAGGGTGCACATTGGGAGCTAGCTCAGTGACCAAGGACAAACGTCAGTGAGTAGAGACTATTTGAATGAACTCAAAATAACATGATCTCAAGAATGGTTAATTTGATTCTTCTAGCTATCTTAACAGCCAGTGCAAATGGCCATAAGATCATCTTAGCTCAAAGACTGAGGTCAATCATAAAAGTATGGAAATGGATACTGGATAAATGTTTTGGGTTGGATCACAAATACAAGAGTGACATAATTAAGGGAGTCCCTGGAGTTGATCTAATTTGTCTCTAAATATTTCCACTAGAAATTTCTCCACTCTGGCAAAACCAACTGCTTTGAAGCAAGCATTTAGATCAAGCATTGTCCTGTTGTGACTAGATCTGGTAACAAGGAGAGTATATGCCAAGTGTCTGTTCTCATTAATTTCTTGTCAAAACAGTCTCACTCTCATGTAGACACAGGCTGGGGAAAGCCAACAACTCAACTATTTTCTCTTGGAATTTGAATAGGGGGGAAAAAAGGCCTTATGTATGTAAAGTAATTTATAGTTTCTTTTTTTTTTAAAGATTTTATTTATTTATTTGACAGATAGAAATATAGTGAGAGAGAGAACACAAGCCAGGGGAGTGGGAGAGGGAGAAGCAGGCCTCCCGCCCAGCAGGGAGCACGACACGGAACTCGATCCCAGGACCTCGGGATCATGACCTGAGCAGAAGGCAGACGCTTAACGACTGAGCCACCCAGGCACCCCTACTTACAGTTTCTTCTTGAAGTTAATCCTCACAGCAGCCTTCTGAATTAGGTATTGTTTAGCAATAAAGGACCAGAGAGGTTATGCATTTTTTTCAAGTTGACACAGGTCACTGGCGAATAGTCGAACCTGGCCTCGTCCATGTCATCTGGCATCAAGTCCGTCATTCCAGTGTACCAGAGTATGTTTCATTAGGTTTTTTTTCCTATTAGTATCTGAAATTATGTAAAAAACAAAACAAAATAAAACCCTTGAGGTGCATTTATAGTCATGCAGTTTGCTTAAAGCAACAGTGAATCATGCCCAATGGCAATAACTGAAGATAAATGACATTGACCATCTTTAGCATATGTTTGCCAATTTAGAATTCTGGTCATAAGATCCACACCCTCGGGTGAAAGAAAAGAATTTCATAGCTCATGATGTAACATGACATACATATTAGGCAGAGGGCTGAAGGAAGCCACTTGATTTTCTGAAACAAAAACAAGTAGAATTTTAGAACTACTTCTAGTCTAATTTCAAAAATTTTGTCTAACTGAATTTAATTGTCATTTCACTGTTCATTCATTCAGCATATACTAGGTGAGCACCCCTATGTTACTAAAAACTAGGTATTATACCCCTAAATACTAGGTGAGCACCTCTGTATTCCAGAGAAGGCACTGTGCTTGGTGCGAGGGTACACAAGGCCCTTGGCCTCATGGAGCTTACTGTCCGGCCCATTTACAACCAGGCTGAGGATCATTTGGGTTACTGAAAAATGTCTCTTCTGAGTATGGAAAAAATCACTCAGTATCAAACCAGGGAAGCAGAGGACAAGAACAAGTCAAATGCTCTTCCAGCAAACTGTTTTCCTAAGAAATAGACAGATGGCATAAACGGAAGTCTGATACATAATTATTTTTGAGTCACAATTTAGATTTACATGAGATAACAAATTGTTAACCTGACTGAGTGAGGTTATGGGTTGTCTTTCCTCTTTATCTGATAAATTGTAAAATAATTTTTTAATTAGGCATATTGCTTGTCAAAATTGCTAGTAATGGTCTATCACTAATAACTAGAGCAAGATTCAATACCAGTGAAAAGTCTATAACACATTTTATATTTTAATAGTTTGATGATGGTTATGTGGTTTAAACAAACCATTTTTATGGTCTGTCTTACTTCCCATTGACTACAGGCAACATTTTAGCAATGTATCACTATTCTTTGTTTAGCCCCCTGAATTTCTAAATGGAAGGTATTTAAAATTCTATTATATAGCTTGACTCCGGGGATTTATTCACCAGATCCATGTGACTTTGAAAATATATTAGATATTT